AACTGAATATTTTGGTATTTCGAACGTTTCTAATAGAAATCTAGATTCTCAAAATACCACTCTATCTGTGATAAAACTTTCATGTCGTGAAAAAAATTACAGAGACACTTGGGCGACCTTCCTTGCGGCTCCGTTCCGTAAAAAACGTACAGTGTTCTTTCCTAAAGTAGGCATCGAGTTCGAAGAACGTCTACGATTCGTTTCTCTCGAGTAGAGCCACCCTTCTTCCCCCAATTTCCATCGTAGCCCCCTCGATTCGAACCCTAATATCGCCGACGAAATCTAATAGTTAGCTTTCGTAATCGTAGAGCTTCATAAAAAACAAAAAAAAAAAAAGAAAAAAATATCGAATACTGAGTAATACACGATCTCCATCGTCTCGTTTTAATCCACGTGGTCGCGAAGAAAGAGGCGGAAATTTCATACCTCACCGTTGGAGCCAACACAGACGAGCTAAATCGCGCGGAGAGCCGATTCGACAGCTCTAGCATCTGTTTGCAAGTAAATTAAAGCCAGTTGAATATGCTAATCGCCCCGTCGTTGATCGTATTCCGCTTTTTCAGCTCGACCCTTTAGCTGCGATTAAATAAATCCTTTTTCGAGAACGTTTCCTGCTAGCTGCAACGCATTGCACATACTGGATTGCACTATAGTACCTCGGCAACTATACAGTGTGGGAAATAATACAATTTCTTTGGATTTTATTCGCAGCTAAAGAAGTCTTTTCTCGTTAGTTTATAAAGAAAAAAAAAAGGAAAGAAAAAATAATCCGGCAGAAAGAATTAAATACAAAAAGCGACCAGTGAAGAATCATGATAATGACGAGGATTTTAAATATATATCAATCTAGAGTAACATGATTTACGAATAAAAAATGTGAATGTTCGAGTACTTATTCCTTTTTTTTGTCCCTTTTTGAAAATTGAACTTTGGTCGCTTTTGATGGAATTTTTACGTTTATTTTGGTAATTAGATAGCTGTCTATATCTGGCAGTGTTCAAGTATACTTGTGCTCGAGATTTCGTGGAGCCTGTTCCGTTTCGTTTCGAACCTACGTATTACGTGTGAATGTGCGAAAGATGAGAGACGATCGAAAAAGAGAACATGGTGCTAGTAACGAAACTAACAACAAGTGTATGGAGAGACAGGTGCTTTTTCTTGAAAAATTCGTTGGTCTCGACGTCACGAAACCGATGTATCGTTTGTTATTCTAAGTGGCCCTCTGGTAACGAGAGCTTATTAAGAACTGGTCTTCGGCCAGGCTATCTTCGCGTCGATCCGCTTGTAAGCGAAAAGGCAGTGAGAGAGCTCTTGAGGACACTCGTGGTCGCCAAGTAAGGTTTCTATAACAAAACAAAGTCAAATTTCAATAGTAACTTTCTTATTTTTTTCATTTGTGATGCAACATGCTTCTAGAGAGTAGTTTAACATAATTCTTCAGCTTTGTTCTAACTTTTCTAATGTTTTAGATCCCTAGGATATTCTTCGTCTTCCTAGCTTTTCAGTTTTCTAATAATGTAGTTTCTTTTGATTTTGAATTATATGCTTAATTAGATGTGTTTAAAGAAATTTTTTATTGAGATTTACAGAAAGTCCCATATTATAGAAATTAATAACATGAAATGTGGAAATAAGGTTCAGTATATCTATTTAATGATATTAAGGAGTACAATTTCTCCTTGAAGAACTGTCACTTGTAACGGAGCAGAAGGTGGAAAAGCTTACAGAAGTTGATTGGAAGTGTATGAATAAAATTCAGATCTATGATCTATTGATTCTTACCTTCCCCTTGGACCAACTTGAACAGACCATAGTCCTGGGGGTTGGTGCACCTTATTTTATGCGCGAGAATGCGACAGATTTCTCTGGTGTTCATGTTTGGTCGCACAGGCAGCGTCCTGGTGTTCAGGGATCCGTGCAGTTCATCTGGCACTAAGATTCGTAGTACGGATGAACAGTCTGGCGTTCCACAGCCCTGAAACACCAAACAACAAACTCTGAACAGATATTCGTTAACAAATAATCTTAAATTCTCTTAAATTCCCATTGAAAATTAATCTGTGAACTAAGAAACATGTATTAATTCCAATCTCTAAGAGATTTAATTTCTGAGTGAGAAATAGATCCAGTTAACAAACTCAAACACTTCAGCAACATTATTAATATTTCAAATGAACATTTCACCCAAAAATACTCATGGAACTTGTTGAATAATGCTTCAGAGACCAGCCTCAGCACGGTCACTTACGTTTAATGTGGACATCGTCCCCTGGCTGGACTTGAACGTCTTCAAGACGTGAACCGCGCTGGATAAGGTAGTTAGGTAGTATCCCCCTTCACCAGTGAGAAGAGAAGGATGAAGCAGGCCCCACATGTACTCAGCTTCCACCTCGGCGTCTACAACCTTACCGCGTACCAACACCCAAACTAGAAGAGGTAGAAGATCGTCTGCGCCCAACGTTACGTGTCTGCCGGAATTAGCGTGTTTTACCTAAAGAAGACTTGCAATTAATAATAAAATCTTGCCTTGGATAAGTTTTTTTTATTTTTTTTTTTTTATGACTTACGGAGTTGAAGATCGCCGATATAGCAGCTAAAAGGTTCTCCAGCTTATCCAGTGGTGAATCTGCTTTCTGGAGACGGTCTATGTACTTCAAGATCCGTTCCAGACTCGGCTCCGATGGAGGTATGATCTTTGGCTGTAAATAAGAATGTCAATGATGTTATTAAGGTGTATTGTAACTTATTTGGAGAGTTTAGAATGTTGGAAATACCACTCGTTAAAGTACGATTGTTATATAGCTATATAGAGTTGTTGAACAATGTAAACGTTCTGAAATATGTATCATATGTACAAGGAGGATCACTGTTGAAGGACTACCAAAGAGTACTAAAATCAAAATATAGTTTTATGGGGTTTAAAATAAAATTCATTGCACTTTACATTCACCTTGATGGTCTCTCCTTCAATCCCAGCTTTGATTACTTTAAAAGAACTTCAATTGTGTGTTTGACAATTTAGAAATGCATAAATTTGAATACTTGAAAATTTGAATATTTGGAAATTTAAATATATAAAAATTTAACAATACAAATATTTGAATATTCAAAAATTAAGAAATTTAAATTTTTCAAATCACAGCTAAACGAAGCTACTCCATTGAATATACTCCCCAAGTCCCAAAGGTGGACACCAATATCTAAATTACATCTGAAAACACAAAAAACCACCCTAACCCCACAGAAATCCAGCTGGACTTATCCGAAACTCAAACAGACATAATCTGAACAGGCAAACTGTTATTACAGAGGGTGCAAGGACAATGAACCATTCTGCAGCAACCTCCATTCAACCAGCAATGATCGTTTCAACAAACAGCTACTAACTCGAACACCGAGGTCCTGGACATGTTTCCCCTGGGCGTGCTGGATGCTTTCTGCTAGGGTCTGCAGCGAACCAGTAGTCGCGTAATGATCCACAAACAGTCTGTAAACGTGTTCCCTGAGCGGCCTGACCACTAGACCCATCATTACTCCTTCCAAGATGGCGTCCAGATTCAAAAACTCATTGGCCTTCAATTTAAGCCTCTCTTTTTCCACTTCTTTCTCGAATTCCCTCTCGCCGTGTTTCACGAGGTAATTCTTCATCCCTGACATGAACTGCCGCATGTTTCTCATCACCACGTGTGGACTGGCTTCTTTTCCCTCCTTCGTGCACTGGATAAAGTTGTCGATGTTCTGAGAGAAGGTGGTGGTTTTGTCTGCGGCCAATTGAAGAGCGTACGACCTAATGGTGGAGCCTGTGCCTCCGTTCTCGCGATTCCTGAGGGCTTGCAACCTTGGAGGAGCTGTAAAATAGAGAAAGAAAAATTGAGTTAAAAATTGAGATTTCCTTTCATTTTGAAATAAATTTTCCTCCCTATTTTTTTATAGGGAATTTTTTTCCCTATGAAATTATTATAAATTATAGAATATTGGAGAGTCTGTGAAGGAAAAAGAAACGATTGAGTCTGAACGGTTTGAGGTTTCATAAAAATGGTGATTAAAAAATTGAAAGTTTAAGAAAGGTGGTGGAGGGGATAGCAGGTAATGTGACCTTGAATGGAGAACCAATTTTCGACAGGCTATAGGTAGATATAAGTGTATTTATTGGGGTTTTTTTTTTTAATTTGATGCTTTTAAAAAGAAACTTTTTAATTTAGAATAAAAATTGTTTTATAATTTCTGTTGATTTTTATGGAAAGTAGTATTTTACTCCACACGAGAATTGTAGGATTATTAATTTTAAAAGTGAGGGTAACGTCGACTGCGACGTTGATAATGGGGAATAAATATTGAAGCAGTAGTTCAGACAGTAGATAACGGATGAAGAATGAACGTTGTAACTTTACTATAGAGGGATGTACCCGGGTTTTGATACTGGTATTTAAGAAATTCGATTCAGAGATTTTTTAACTCGGTATCTTGGCAAATACTCGCGATATCGCGACGCGTTATCTTATCAATAGTGAACTACTAATGGTATTCAGGATTCTAAAATAAGCGAAGTATGTTAAAAACTTTGCAAATAGAATTTATCTGTGCACGTGGTTAGAAAGATAGTAATTTGATCCTCTTACACTAGCCCCGGGAACATCGACACGATAATTTCTTCGGGGAAAGCCCCCTCCTACCTTTGCAAATAGAAGAATTTCTCTTGATATTTTCGGTGAAAATGGTTTTTATCTCGATTTGATATTCAAAGATTAAAGATATATAGAAATTTTGAACATTTGAGAGTTGGAAAATTGCAGAATTAAACGATTTAGGAGTACGTAAAATAGGGAAGCTGTGAAATTCCAAAGTTCAAGAATTGAAAGATTTCGTAGCTTGAAAATTTGGAAATTGGAAAGTTCAAAAATTTCAAAACTTTCAGAGTCCGAAAATTTCAAACTCTGGAAATTTGAAGATTTTCGAAATGTGAGAGTTGCAACGTTCCAAAATTCGAAAATTGCAGAATTTCAAGATTCGAAAATTTCAGCGTCTGAAAAGTCAAATATTTTGAAATTGCCAAGTTCCGAAATTTGACAATTCCAGAATTTCAAGATTCGAAAATTTCAGCGTGTGAAAATTCAAATATTTTGGAATTGCGAAGTTCCGAAATTTGACAATTCCAAACTTTCAAGATTCGAAAATTTTAGTGTCTGAAAAGTGAAATATTTTGAAATTGCGAAGCTGCGAAATTTGACAATTCCAGAATTTCAAGATTCGAAAATTTCAGCGTCTGAAAAGTGAAATATTTTGAAATCGCCAAGTTTCGAAATTTGACAATTCCAAACTTTCAAGATTCGAAAATTTCAGCGTGTGAAAATTCAAATATTTTGAAATTGCGAAGTTCCGAAATTTGACAATTCCAGAATTTCAAAATTTAAAAATCTGAAAATTCGAAAACTCGGAAATTAGAAGATTAAAAAACTGTCCCTTACGTTTAAACACTTCCATGCTATTTTGCACTTTTCTATAAATGCACCGAAACCACCTTCCTATCTTTCGGAAGATGCCCCTTGTCTTCATGGAGAAGCTTTTCTTCTCCTTATGCACCTCCATCGAACAATTAATCATCTTGCTCTGAACCTTCCAAACTTGTCAAAAATTTGTAATCGCCTCAGCTATTCTATCGAAGTTAGCTTAAAACTATAATACTGTTCGTAACACAAAAGTCTTCTATAATAATTTATTTCAATCTTTCTCTTCGAAGAATCTTCCAATTTAACCGCGTAAAATAATCTCCAAAAATTAGAAGAATATCAGCAAGAATTGTTCAATCAACTTCACGAAGTTCACTGAACTTGCAATTTAATAGACGAGACCTTTTAATAGACGAAAAAGAATATAAATCTTTATTCGTTCGGACCAATTATTCTTTTTCTCTTGTAACTTCCACCATCTTCCAGCATTCCATCGTATTTCCAGAGTTCATCAGCTTCGAGCAATGTTTTTCCTCTGGATTACACGCTCGCGATCAATAGACTCGCAGTAATGAGTCTGCTGCTCTCCATTCGCATTTTTCTCTTCAGAGAATCGCATTCCGCGTAATCGGGGCTAAAGATCGAGCCGGCTCATCCACAAAAGTGCTCCAGGACTGCTTCTCAGCGAGGCTGCGACCCTATCGAGACGAGAATTCCGCATAAAATTATCGATGGCTTGCCCAAGCCAGCAGGATAGTCTTCGAGGAGTCGTCGACTATGGCATTATCTGCATGACCGTGGAATCTTACGGCCAGATATAAGCACCCTCCTCGAGCTAATTCTCGCAAGAGGATAGTTTGTTGCTCTTTGTCAATGATAGAAGAATCTTCAAGTTCAATTGAGTACAATTTTTTTCGAATAAAGAGTTCAACAGGCGAGGAATTGTTAATTTTTCTATTTTTCAAAGTTTAATCAGCTCTGTTGGTTCAATTTTCTTCTTTCTCGAGGATTTTCACTTTGAACAATTTTTATCTTTCACTTTGAAGGATTTTCGTACACCGACTTTTGATATTTCCTAGAGTTTCTTTTTGGTCTCCAGCGAAGAGAAATTTGACGTTAGAGTAATAATTTATGGAGTTTCGTTAATATTTTTGAAGAAGTTCGATGTTTTTATAAATCGTTTTCCGCATGGATGAGATTCAACTAGAATTTGTTTTCACTTAAAATTGATCTTCTTTCGAAGTACTCAAGTTTCGATGTCGGACAAACGTGAATTAACTTTCAACTTAGCGAAGTATTAAAAGTTCTTCCGAGACCATTCATACTTCTGTCACAAGTTGAGTAATCCCTCTTCTAATCACTTCCTGTTTGAATTTAGACACTGGATCAATAGGATCTCTTGTTTGATCTTGCTCTATCTCCAGTCAATGAAGTGTCAAACAAGAAGCTTCATCGGAAGTTGCACAATAAAGTGTCTTTTCGACAAACTTTACGTCTAAGATATTCGAATTCGATTTTAACTGAAGAATTCTCCAATTGCACAGCTTTTATCTAGATATTCCCGATTTTCTCAAGAAGATCTATCGAAAGTCCTTTCGATCTATCAGGATTTTTTTGTACTTTATCAAAGACTCGAAGATTTGACAAATATTCTGTCGCACCAAGAATGTCCACTTAACGAGGCGAAACTGTTTTACACACTGTCACTAATTGAATTTCTCGATTTGAATCATCGAAGACACTCGCGTGGATCATCAGCGCGCAACTGGATCCGATGATCGAGTGAGCTAGGCCCAACACGAGCCTCGACGAGGCTGCACCAACGATGGACTGGCTGACACTGAACGATCGGCAGCGTTATCGCTAAAGGTAGCTTGTGTTGTTCGTCTACTTTGCGATTATGGCTGGCAGAGGGGCAGCTGATGACTTGTTCACAAGGAACGACGCCGTTTTCTGGCGAAATCTGTGATACGAGCCGCGGCTGCGGACACTTCCCCACTTTGCAACCCCTACTCAGGTCAGGATCCCCTTGTTCAAGGAGTTTGGGGACTTATGGGGTCCCATGGGGACTCCCAGGGGTCAGTGGAGGGGAGAGTTGAAGTTCTGGGAAAATTCCAAGGGCTTGTATACCAAATTTTATGCACTTTATTTTATAAATTCTATTCTGCGAAGTTTTTATGAATTTTGTTATGAATTCAATTTTGTAGAACCGATTCTACACACATTGTCCCATCTAGTAAATTTCATTATTTGTTTTTATTTTTAATTTTACTCTGTGCATTAAAAATAACTGCAAACAAAACTTGAACTAAAAATATTACACGTTCTATATTATTAATTTCCAACGATAACAAAGAACGAACGAAATATAGAAAATATAATTCTTCAAATGTCGTTACATATCATCGATAATTTCAAGAATGTGCAGTCAAAAATATAGGGTTCCATTTAAGAATTTAAACGTGACCTTCGCAGGACTCATCATGCAACTTTCATGTGAAACATTTTTTCGTATTTTTGATACTTGCAGAAATAATTACATATAGACACTTAAAAGGGACATACTGTACATCATTCGATTTAAAATATCATTTTTCAAATTTCATTATACATAATCAGATATCGAAAGGAATTACTCCTTCTAGACAGATGATTAATATCATTGTTCTTATTTTCTTCAATCATTCAGCGTGAGTTTATTTTCACCATGATCCAACTTCCAAATACTCAAAATTTCAAATATTAAAATTATCCAACATTCAAACTTTCCAAATTTTCAAAATTTCAAACTTTCACAATTTCAAAATTTAAAATATTAAAATTTTCAAATATTCAGCATTTCTATTACTAAAATGATCAAACATCCAAATTTTCAAATATTCAAACTTTCAAATATCCCAAATTTTTTAATTTCAAATATTCAAACTCTTTTTAATTAAAATTTTCGAATATTCAAAGTTTCAAATATTGTCATTTTCAAATACCATTATACATCGTCGATAATCTGCGAGATATCGAAAGGTATCACTCTCTCTACATAGACAGATGTTTATATATGTACATATATCATTACTCTCATTTCCTCCAATCATTCAGCGTGAATTTCTTTTCACCATGATCCACTCGTGACGAGAACGTGACAATCTCGGACAAAAGTGATTGTATCGGTTGCATGTCATCGTGAACTTCGCGGACGGTCCATGGACTATTGCGTATTCCACGATAGCGTTCAGGAAACAGGGGTGGTGAGCTTCCTTGAATTGTTTGCGACGTCGTATTAAGTTAAGTGGCCCGAATGGAATCGGCTATCGTTACGCTCTAACCAATGCTTCTACGCTGTTACGATTACGATTCTCCTTTTATTCTCTCCCTTCTTACCTATCTCTTTACTTTGCCCCCGG